CCAGCCCGGGCACTTTCCTCCAGGCCTGGGCTGCTGGCCCAGAGGGACAGGCCAGCCCCACCTCCAGCCCTCACCTTCGAGGCCCCACAAACCCCGCTACCCCACCCACCCCAGTGATGCAGCCTGACCCCTCCGTCCCCCCGCCCCAGACGGAGGCAGCCACACACGTGTGCTCAAAATAAAAATTTATTCGTTCAGTAACAAGGACAGGGGCTGCGCCCGGGCGCGCCTTCACATTTAAAAACAGCCGAGCACGTCCGCCGCGGGCTCGGGGGGCTGCGCGGGGCCCCCCCGCCCAACGCACCAAGTCACATTTGCAGAAAGGAAAGAGAACGGAGAAGGCACTGGCACCGCGCTGTGCCTCGCCCCTGCCTGGCTCTTCCTGCGGGGCAGGGACCGGGCATTTCTTCTTCCAGTGAAGACCCATTGGGGCCGGTCGCCCCCCGCCAGGGAAGGCAGCTCTCCCCTCGCCCAGGGGAGGAGAGCGTCTCCCTCCGCTCCTGCCGGCCCGGCTAAGAAACCGGCAGTCCACCCCGGCTACGAGGCGATGAGCAGGAGCTGGCGGCCAGCGACCGGCTGCCCCTGGCACGGAGGAGGTACGAGCTGCCCTCCGCGTCTCAGCGCAGCAGGACGCGGGAGGAACGGCCCCACAGCTTTCTCCTGCGAGGCTCCCGGGGCGGCGCAACCAGGCAGGGGATGGCAGACCCTGCCGGGGGGCAGACCCGCACTGTAAACAAGGCCGTGCCCGCCGAGGGCTGGGCTGAGACCGGGCTGCAGCTCGCTACAGGAATGCAAATGGGAAGCTCCAGCTCCCGACACTGCCTGAGCGGGGGGAAACGCAGCTGCTTCCCCAGCCCAGGGAAGTGCCCACGTGTCCTGCCCTGCAGCTGCCTGGGCCCAGCTGGACAGGCCCAAAGGCGGGTCCTGATGGGCCTGTGGCAGCCCCCGGTGCGGGGATGTGTGGGTGCTTCTGGAGCCTGGAGGGGCTTAGGCCGCACTGGGCAGACTCTCCAGCCCTTTCCCAAGGCCTGCTCAAAGCAGAGACCTTGGCCGTCTCCATAGCCCTGCTGAGAGGGGACCTCTTCTCCCCTCCCAGCCCTGCCAGTGCCACAGCTGCAGGGGCAGAGCTGGGGTGAGGGGTACAGCCAGGACCCCCATGTTCCAGGGCTCCCCCCCACAGCAGGAGAAAGTTTTGTGAGGCTGCTTCAAGTATTCAGGCTGGAGGAGCCGGGCTTGTGCTGCAACCCCAGGGCAGGGCTGGGCTGGGAGGGAGCAGAGGAGCTGGAGCTGGAGGCTGAGCTCCGGGGCAGGGAAGCTGCTCTGGGGGCTTCCCCATTGCATGGGGACGGGGGACAAGTGGGAAGGTGACCCCGTGCTGACTCTGCCTCACCCCAAGTCTCCTGCTGCAGGAAGAGATCCCTGCAACCCCTCTGCAAGCTGCTGCTGGGGGAGAAGACCCCCACCCCAACCACCCGCCAGTCCAGACAGCGCCGCACGCATCCAACCGCATCACGCACCGGAGCAAGGCTCGGCCCTACTCCCCGTGCTTTCATGGGAGATGCTGCGAGAGATTTTGCAGGGTATTTGCACCTGCTCCTTCCAGAGCTGGGCTGCTTGGGGCCAGGGGAGACGTGCGGCTCCGCACCCAGACTCCCCCCAGGCCCTGCGGTACCAGTCGAGCAGGCCACAGCTCTCCCACAGGGGCCAACGTCTCGCCCTGCTGCACAGGTGACACCCGGGTGCTCAGCACAGCCCTGCATCAGCTGGCGTGCAAAATCAAGTTGCAACTCGCATCACCCCCTTTGCAATCCCCCTTCCCCCCCACGCTCTCCAGTACAGCAGGAACTGGCTCAGGGCGCTTGAGATTTTCAAATGGCCTAAAACCCTCCTTCCAGTCGCAAGCGAGCGGCCGGGGCGGCAGCCCGGCCCCGGCGGGAAGGGAGCAGAGCTCATGCACAAGGGACAGGGTATTTGGCAGAAGCTGGCGACGACAGGGCCTCACTTTTGGAAAGGGAAGACAGGCTCGAGGCAGACCTCCTGGAGGTCACGTGCGGCTTGCAATGAACACCACGGAACCGGGAGAGGTGGCTTTGTTTCCAGTTTGCAGAACGCAGTCTCACCCTTTTTTGTCGTTGTTTAAAAAGAAACCATAGGAAATGACAAAACCCGCCATAAATACTGTATATATACACAACGCAGGGGGAAAACCACATCCGGAAGAGACCTTCCCTCCAGGTTAAGTGTTAAAAGTGACAGCAGAGAGAGGAAAACCTTGCATTCAAGAGGTACAAACCATGAAGACACTTGCTGGCTTTGCAAGCAAGGAGAACCGTGTGGGTGTGTTTGCGTGTGTGGGGAGCAGAGAGGGAGCAACTCAGGCAGCACAAGCGAGAGAACAAATTTAGGGTGGTGCTGGTGGCGGGGAGGACGCGTGGAGGGGAGACCGGTGGATACATGATATGGCCATTGTACACGGAAGGCCCACAGCAGTATTCAAGTAATGAAAGGGTTAAGCCCCCCTTGTTTTAAAAGAACACCCCTCAATTTTCAGGGCTCGGCAGCCCCCGGGGAGGCTCCCCACGGCCTGGCCTCTGCCCCCTCGGTCACAGTCAAAGTGCACGGGCGTGGATTTGCAGGTCCCGGGAAGCGGGAGTCCAGCACCCACCCCTCCGTCCGGGCCAGACCCGTCCTGCGGGCTCGCGCCAAAGCAGCTCGGCCCGCGGCCGCCGCGGTCAGCTAGTTCCAGCTTGCTTATGTGGGGTCAGCCACGGGGTAACGCTGCATCTGAGCGCGGCGCCCGCTCGGGCAGCTGCCGTGGCACAAGGGGAAGGCAATGGGGGTGGGTTTAGCTTGGCAGGGACGAGGGGGCTGCCACCGTGATTTCTGCCTGGCCGGGGTGTTCTTTTAAAACAAAGAGCACGTCTGAGGTTATCGGAGTTAAAAAAAAAAAAATTAAAAAAATAACCCACGGCCTTGCAGTCGGAGTCGCACACAGAGAAACACAACCCAAACCTACATGCGTCAGGAACAGTAAAATGACTATAAAATTAACCGATAAAGTGCATGTTCCTTATATATTACACCTGCCCCTGGGACGAGGGTTCACATGGTGTTATAGAGAGGATTGGGCGTCCGCTTTTTGTCACTAGGCTTTTTGAGTCTCCGCAGGGGGTGAGTTCTGCCGTGCTGCTGCCGTGGCGCCACGGCCAGCTTCGGAGCCGGGCACGGCGAGTCCGGCCCCGGCGCCCGGAGCAGCGGAAGCGCCTCTTCGGAGCGAGTCAATAGAGGTGGCGCACCGGGGACTGGGCCAGGTGGACCCACCCGAAACTCTTTGGCATACTGCACGAGGGGCCGCGCCACCGGCTTGCTCTGGGCAATGCACTCAGTCGTTTTAAGCTGCTCTACAAAATGCTTCGTGGGCTTTGGATCGGCGAGGCCTGGCAGCGAGGAGGAAGATGTGCAGAGCCTTCCAGGTGGGCTGCCCGGGGGCAGCAGGTGGGGACAGGGCTCCGAGGGGGCGCGCTCCCTCTCGGCTAAGTCGTCTTTCGAGAGGTCCAGGCAGTCCAGCTTGGCCAGGGAGGCTGAGCGCTTCATGTGGGATGGCGCTGTGAGCCCCGCATGCCGCATGCGTGCCTCGAGCTCCGTGGCGCGCAGCTGGACCAGGCTGGGGTGGCTGCTGCGGTCCTCCACGCTGCGGCTGCTAGAGCTGTGGGGGAGGCCGGAGCAGAGGAAGAAGTCCCAGCCTTCGCAAGGCTCCCTCTGGCCCCTGGCAAGGCGGCCGAGCACAGTCAGGTCCTCGTGGCTCAACAGCATCAAGGCACTGCAGCTGCCCCCGCATAGGAGCTGCCCGCCCCCACCGGCGCTGCAAGGTGCGGCCGGCTCATCGTCCGTGCTCGTGCTCTGCTCCGTGACGCCCTCCAGGTGAAACAGGCTCAGGCACTCGGGGTCTGCCGAGGGTGAGGGTATCGCCTGGCCAAGGGGGGAGGTGGCAGCCAGAAGCATCGGTGTCCCACCACAGCCCTGCTGGGGGCTGCCTGGGGTGGAGGTGGCCTGTTGGGCTGCCGTGGGTCCCGGCATGGGAGGGTGCTGCAGTGGCAGAGACTGCGGGCACACGGCGGCTGTCCCCGTGCACACCGAGGGGTTCAGGTTTTCATCCAGCGGTGGCAGCTCCAGGGTGGTCAAGCCTGGCCCCGTGCCACCCTGCCCGCAGCTGGCGTCACACTCGTGGGGGCCCAGCAGCTCAGACGCCTGTCCGTACTCGATGATCTCGATCCTCTTGGGGAGGGGGCCAGGCAGGGCCGGCACCGCAGAGCTCTCCAGCAGCACCACCGTCCGGCGCTCCCGCACTGGCCCCTCCTGCTCCATGCCGAGCTCCGCGGGCAGGGGCTCCACAACAGGGCACGTGCCAACAGGGGGTTCGGGGCTCCCCGGCCTGGCCTGGTGGCTGTCGTCCTCCCCGTAGGTTGGGGCCGGCTCGTGAGACGGCTCCTCGCTCCTGCCGCGGGGCGCGGGCTCGGTGGTGGCAGGGTCGTTGCGGGAGTTCTTGCGGGTGGGCAGCAGGCCCCCAGGCGCCCCGTGCTGCTGCTCCTGCTCCTGCCTCAGGCGCTCCTCGAACTCCAGCGTGGCACGTCGTACCGAGCCCGGGCACCACTTGGGCGCCAGGGCAAGGCCTTCTCCCTGCAGCTCCTGCTGGTCCTCGGCTGGGCTGCTCTCCTCCGGGTCAGCCCCGTCCTCTTCTGCTTGCAGAGGCTCTTTTGCCTTCTCCTGCTGGGCCGTGCAAATGCCATCGCCTGGCTCGGCCTTGCCAGGCTTGTGTTCGGATGGCCAGGCTGCCTCGGCCGGCAGCTCGTGGACCGTGTTCCTCTTGGGCAGCACCGGCGCGTGGCCAGCAGCACCGTCTGTCTTCTGCAGGCCCGGCCCCACGCCCTGGTGGATGGACTCGATTTCCGTGACGATCTCCTTCACGGATATTGAGTTTTCCGAGTGGGATCGCGTGAGGGGGCCCGTGCCAGGCAGCTCCGAGACTTCCTGCAACAGAGACACGGGCGTTACAAGATGCACACCAGCACAAACGATTCTGAAAGGCCTGGTCAGGCATCCCCACCCCAGGAAACCCCTGGCCCAGTGCCGTGCCATGGACCCAGCTCCAAGTGGGCTTGCTAACAGCACCCAGGGCACCTCTGGGGCTGCATTTAAATCCCTCCAGCAAGATTTCTGCACAGCCGCGGAAAATCAGGTGCTCAACACGCTTGGGCTCCTCACTTCAGGCCTCCAATCTTTACAGCATAATGGAGATCAGTACCGACACCTGAATAAAACTGCCATTTGGACACCTGGGTTACTATGGATGCGTTCCTGTACGACAGCTCGTGCATACAGGCCGGAGCCCTCATCGAGAGGGTCCTGCGAATTCAAATGTTTATGACTTTCCCCTTGGAGGCTCGAGCAGAGCGGCTGTGCACATCTGAGGCCCGGGAGCCCTGTGGCAGAGTAGCCCGGAAGTGCTGCCTCATTCCTTCCACCTCCCTAGGGCAGGACGGGACGGGTTCGACCTCCCATCTGCAGCAACTCTTCGAGTGCAAGGCGACAGCATTTCAGCAAGTTGCGGCCAACACATCACAGGCATCAGTTTGCACAGAAGACGCCCGACCTTGCCGTTCCACCCACGCTGCTCTGGCACCCTTGTGAATCTTGGCCGACATCCCTCAGTCCTGACCCGCCTCCCTCCTGCTTCTCTACTCCAAGTTCTGGCCTCGTTGCTCACCAGCCCTCACCGGGGCACTCTCCCCTCGAGCACAAGGGGCCGCGAGGGGACTGAGAGGCTAGCCCAGGCATCTGACACCAACCCACACCGCGTACCTGTAGTACCTCCCACTCCTCTCCTAAAGCAAACTCTCCCGTGCTAGTTGTACAGAGACACATGATACTGGCAGACTGGAAAGCTTCCCGCACATCTGCCCAAGCAAATACAGACCTGCCGCCAGGAACATGCAAGCAGGGGCTGCTAGGAAAGCGATCAACTGTCCTAACCTTTGCTTGCTCCTCATCCGTGGAAGAATCTTCCGACACTTGTGGGGAGTTGCCCAGGGAGCCGGTTCTCTGAACAGTGATGCCCGTCTCCACCGCAGGCAGCACCTCCAGCACCGATCCCTTCGCGACCCCATTCCTCCCGCTGCCCTGCTCTTCCGCCCTCGAGTGGGAACAGGAGCGAGACCGGCTCTCTTGGGAGAGCTCCACGAATTTCTCCAGGGCGCTGAAGAAGTCGATCCGGTCCGTGCTGAAGTCAGCAGCTTCGGGCTGGGAATGAAGCTGTGGGCTCGGGGAATCCTGGTCGGGCGACCTGGGGAGGTCTTTTAGCCTGGCAGCAAGTTCTTCCATGGGGACCAAGTGCACGTTCATGTCTGGCTTAAGGGCATCTTTCTCCAGGTCATCCACTGTCAGGTCGGGGAAGTCTGTGGCTATCTCCAGGGGCTGGTCGAGCTGCATCAAGGCCTCGGAGGCATGGCAGTTATCCAGGGGGCACTTGGATTCGTCGAGGCAGCAGCCGGCTGAGCACCCATTGATGTTGTTCAGGTTCAGCTCATCCTCGATCTGCTCGGCGTGGAAGTCTCTGGACGTGAACTCCAGATGGATCCTCCTTTCCTTGGTGCACAGCTCATCGATCACGGCCGCATCCCCCTGGAGCCGACGCTCCGTGCTCAGCTCGGCCGCATAGGTGGGGGATGCCGGCGGGCGGCTGTCGCTGGGCTTGGCCTCGGAGATGCGGTCAGCGGAGGTGGTGATCTCCTTCTTGTTCAGCTCCATCCCAGGTTTGCAGATGGGCTCGTGGTGGTCGGAGAGGTCGCTGTCCGAGTGCGAGCGCCATAGCTTGTTGTGCCGCTGCTTGCTGTGGGGGGACAGAAGGGGACACACGTTAGACCCTTGCTGGAGACACGACTGTGCATCACAAACCTGGCAGGGGCGAGCGACTTGCGGGGAGCTTCTAGGCCAGGTCTGGTGTGACAAATAGCCTCATCACTGATGCGCTGACCCAGGACTGGGTCAAGGATAACTCTGCGTGCATCTAGGTGGGCAGCCTGCACACCCAGGGGCAGAGGAATGCAACATGGTTGGAAAAGCAAGCAAGACAGCCCTTGCAACCAGCCTGTCACCTTGATTTGGACTGTGGGGGTTTTTATCTTCTTCTGCCATGGGGGTGTGGCCCTCTACCCGGGGTCTCTCGAGTGTATACTAACAACCTTTTACAGAAGCAGGACGTTGGCTGCCATGGTCCCCCTGCTTTCCCTGTGCAGGCTCGGGTGCAATGATCTGTGCTGCGCCAGGGTGACAGCAGTTTTACAAAGAGTTGAGATTTGTATAGGATGGTTTGGACAGGGCTGGTCCTGCTTCAGGCAGGGGCTGGACTGGATGCGACCTCTGGAGATCCCTTCCAGCCCCGCTTCTCTTGGATTTCCAGGATCCGCTTGCCTCGTGAGGCTCCCTAAAACTCCCAGGGCCAAATCCGGCCCCGCAGAAGCGTGCAGGATCGGAGTGGAATACAGAAATCACTGTGGCACGAGTGAGCTCGCTCCGTGTACTGCTTGGGCACTTGTGCACCCCCGATGCTAAGGGGGGAGCGTGCATGTGTGTGCATGTGTGCACACACACACACGAGCTAAACAAGCCTGGTGGCCTTACTACAATATGCAAGCAAGGGGTTCCTGGGGTTGGCCCCTTATGGACTTGAGCATGCCTTATCTGCTGGAAGGTGACGGGTGCGTTAACAGGACAAGAAGGTGACGCAGGTAACAGCTTTGGGTCGCGTGCGTCAGGAAGGTCACGGAAGCAGGTAACAGCGGGCACTGAATGCCAAGGAGCCCCAGGCAAGGGCAGCCTGGCACCACTGAGGCACCCTCACAAAGACCATCCCGTGATAAGTCACGGAGCTACGGAAACCAGAGAGGTGCGGGGGCCAAGAACATCCTGTGTGCTTACAGGAGGCCAAAAATAGCCCCTCTCGCTCAAAACAGCCCTCAGGACAGCCATCAATCTCCCGGCCGGACAGTGCCTGGGAGGGCCCGAGCGCAGCCCGAGTCACATGGGCGAGCCGACCTCGCCGGCTGCCGTGTCGCCACCTGTGCCACGAGCCCTCCCTGCCGCGGCGGAGGCCGTTTCTCCAAAATGGAGAAAACAAGGAAAACAAGTGATGGCACAATGCTGTTTTGCGCGGCTGGCCCCGTTCCCGCCTGGCTGCACTTTTACCAGCCGCCCCTAGGAGGAGAGCCGACACCGCCAGACTCTCCAGCTACAGCCGGCTGCCAAGCCACCTCCACCGGGGAGTGCCCCAACCTAGCTGTCCTGCCGTCCCCCTGCCCGTGTGCGCGGGACCCCAGTGCGGGGCGACCGCAGGGACAGTAGCAGGTAGGAGACTCATTGCCGAGCTAAGCGGGCAGCCTGCGTTTGGCTGAAAGCTCCCCCCAGGCAGGGTTCAGCCCAGGGCAGGAGATTTGACCCAGCTACTGCGTGTGGCTTCTCACGTGGGAAATGGGCCTGGCCCCGAACCCCTGCACAGGCTGAAAGAGGGGGCTAAAAACAGGGCCCTACAGCCGCTGTGGGACACGTGCACTCACGTCCCAGCGGCCTAGAAAGGCAGAACCCAGAGAAACGGGGCCCGTCGTGTGCAAACGCCTTCCCTGGAGGTAAAGCGGCAACTGCCCCTTCTTGGCGTGGATCTGTGGGGTCCCTTCTGGCCGCGAAGCAGAGCTCGGCTCCTGGGGCTGAGGCACTGCACGGGGACCAGGGATCCTGGCTCCCCGCTCTTTTGTCTCTGCAACCCTGGGAGTGTTGCTTTCCATGCCTGTTTCTCCACCGGGCAACAGTGCCCTGCCTCCCGGCAGGCTTGCTCAGCAGAGCTCAGCGTGCTGGTGTGTCACTTGGAAACCCACACCCTTGCTCACGGGAGTGAGCCGAGTTTGCCTGACACCCCAGGTGGCACCTGCAGCCAGCAATAACCCACCGGGCCCATTTCATCCTGTTAATTTGTAACCTCGAGCTTTCCCCCATTCAGCGGCTGATAAAAGGTTGCACAAGGCTCATGCGCCAGGAACCCAGCCACCGTCTTCCAGCACTCCCACAAAAGCCTTCCAAGGGGCAACTTTTTTCCAACTATTTAGTTGATCCAAAGAACCCGGCTTTCCAAGGGGCGAGGGGTGGCAAGCCGGAGGAGCCAGCCTCTAGGGTGTGGGAGAGCCAGATCTCCTCCTCCCTGGTAGCCAGCAAGGGACCAGGGCAAGGCAGCTCCCATCTCACCAACGGGACCTGGTAGGACAGCTTAAAGCAAGAGGCAGCGGCCTGGCCCCTGAAGCTGACGGGCGACAGCTCACTGCCTCGCCAGGGTGACTCAGGGCTGTGTTTACTGCTGGAAAGCAACATCCCGGTTCCCACAGCCCCGTCACTGCCTTCGCGGGCATGTCACCAGATCTGCCTGGCACATGGCTCTGCTCCCAACCCCGGGCCTGAAACCCGAGCAGAGTCACGTGCACGCAAGGCTGTTTTCTTCTAGCCCCGGGGACATGCAGCAAAACAGAGCCGGGGGCAAGCAGAGGGAAGGAGACAGTGCTGCACGGACCAAGAGGAAGGAGAGGCGCTTTGGAGCCCAATGAGAGGGTAGGGGAAGAAGTGTGGGGCACCTGGGGCCTGGCCACTCCCGCCAGGGCAGACTTCAGCATGCTACAAGCCTGAAGTCCACATGCAAACCTGCAAACTACCCTTTTACCTTCTGAAAGCCTTGTTGGAGACCCAGCTCACACTTCATGCTAGGCCAGGCTCACAGGGGCCAGAGTATTGGCCAGTACACCAGCAGGTGCCAAGGAGTTGCCACACAGGCAAGGGAGGCCTGGCTCCCCACATTCACCAAGCCCTGCCTCATCCCACCCTGGCAGGCGGAGGTGGTCTTAGATGCACACTCTGCCTTGGCCAGCGCCAGAAGCACTCTGAGACTCAACACACACGGGGGAGAAGGTGGGAAGAAGCGTCTTCTCCTTCCAGCGAGCCACACGAGGACATTACTCAGCACCCCTCCTGCCCATGGGTTCTGGGAAGCACGCTGTGCTTGTGGCTTTGCACTGACCAGGGACAGGGCCAGTGTCACCTTTGGGCTGACCCTGGGGCTCACCTGGCCAGCAGGATCCCCTGGTACTCCTCCAGCTGCCTCATGAAGCTGGGGTTGGGCTTGGTGACCGTGCGGCGCTCCTTCACGTAGTCGTAGGCCCGGTCCAGGTTCCAGCCGTACTCCTTCATGGCATAGGCGATCACTGTGGAAGCCGACCTGCTCACCCCCATCTTGCAGTGCACCAGGCATTTAGAGCCGTTCTTCCTGATGTGCCGGGCGGGAGAGAAAAAGAGGGCTGTTAGAAAGCTACCTCCAAAGGGTCTACAATGCATAGGTTGTACGTGAGAGGGTCTTCCGAGAGCCCACGCATCTGTGGCGCACGCAGCCAGAAGCAGGCACTCGGTGTCCACAGCTTTTCCTAGGCAGGCACCGCAAGTGTGTGCCTTGACCAGCTGCGTGTGCAAGCCTGCAAGTCCGTGCACCCCCTTGCAGATTTGCTTGTGAAATCCTGCCTGTGGAAAGCAGGCAGAGGCACGTGCATTTTGCACGTGAATTACGGGCTTGCCTTCTCCGAACACGTGCCCTGACATGTTCCAGCTGACCACTGATATGAGGTTAAACAGACAGCCGGGCCCTAGGAATAGGCAGAAATGGCCCGCGAGACCTCTTGCAAACAGGTCAACTCTGTGAACTGGCAAAGAGACCCAAGAGGGAAGGAGTAACAGCAAAACCCTGACTCTCCCCGCACCCGGCCAGTGCTAGACAGGCACATCCGGGCCCCTGGGACCTAGCCTGGATGCTGATCTTTCGAGCCCGAGGGCTGTGACCTGCAGGGCAGTGTAAAACCACTGCTCTTACTGGGAGACGCCCTGACAGGAGGCGAGTGAACAGTTGCTTGCCCAGATTAGCAAAGCCTGCCCGCGGCAAACTAATCTCGCTGCTCTGACTCAAGCAGCGCTCCTGTTGACTCTGGGTGTTGTTCCCAACGAGGACAGGTCCATACCCTGTCCAGCAACAGCTCCTGCCCAGACACAGGCTCTGCAGGCACCTGGTATCTCCAAACACCTCCCCCAGGGAGGTATTTTTCTGCCTTGGCGCCTGTATTAGGCACCAATTCATCCCAGTTCCAAGCCCCGTTGAGCGCAGGTCCAAGCCTGTCGCCTGGCGTTATCTGCCGGGACAAGCTGAACGAAACCGAAAACCCTGCCTGGGGGATTGCATTTCACAGCCCCGCCCCTCAGATCCTCCGGTAAAGACTTGCGCCTGGTTTGTGACCAGTCACGGGCTTATCGCGCCACTTCATGTCTCTGCCACAGGCATGAAAGGAGCAGCGGTCGGCTCCACTCGGGGAGAAGGAGCCAGACCATGTCCGGCAAAGGGGACAGGAGCTGGTGCTGCACCAGGGTGCTGCCTGGAGATGGAGGCTTCCCTTTGGTGTGCTCTGCTCGGGGCAGGAGCAAGGCAGGAGCATAGAAAATGAGGGTGGGAAAGGACCTTGGGAGGTCGCATCTAGTCCAACCCCTGCTCCAAGCAGCACCAGCCCCGACTGCATCATCCCAGCCAGGGTGTTGTTTAACCGGGTCTTAAACACCTCCAAGTTTGGAGACTCCACAACCTCTCTCGGTAACCTGTCCCAGTGTTTCGCCACCCTCCTTGTGAGAGTTTTCCCTACTATCCAACCTCAACTTCCCTTGCTCCAACTGGAGCCCACTGCTCCTTGTCCTGCCATCTGCCCCCACTGGGAACAGCATCCTTTTCTGAACCACCCTTCAGGGAGCTGACGCCTGCTGTTCAATCCCTGGCTCAGTCTTCTCTTCTCCAGACTAAATAAGCCCAGTTCCCTCAGGCTCTCCTCATACGTCACGTGCCCCAGCCCCGTTTTCATTGCCCTCCACTGGACTCTGATTTGTTCACACATTGCTCCAGCGTTTCTGGGCTGCGAGCTCTGCTGCCACTTCCCCAGGTACCAAGGGGGTCACGCGTGGCAGCCAAGCCCATGCTCCAAGGCATCCCAATGCTTCAAGCCATGGACTGGGAGGAGGGAGGCTTGCTAGCCCTTGTCTGCTCACCCTGGGTTGGGCACGGAGCTGCCTCGTTACAGAGCTGGTCAAGAGAGTTTTGGTCTGGCGTCATTTTACAAGTGCCTGGATAAGGGTTTTTATCACTGCCAGCCTTGGACACCGTGGGAAGCCTCGGAGCACAGGCCGCCGTTGGCCAAGTTGAGCACAACCCTCAGATGCGTGCAGCTGTCACCTGTGTGCACGCTCCCTCCATGCACCCAGCACACCCCCTGCGGCTGCTTTGGCCACACCAGCCGCTCACTGGGCCATTTCCTCACTGGAAAGCCAGATGTGTGCTTGCAGTGCGCTAGCACTCTCCAGAGCAACTCTGGTGTAGAGCCCCACACCCTGCTAGCAGCGGGGCTGTGGCCTTGGGTGGTTTTATAACGCCTGCAAGGTAGCTCTGCACCTGGAGAGGGAAGGCTCTGTGAAAGCAAAGCTTGGGCCAAGAAGGGCCTCCGCCCCCAACACAGCTACACAGGCTTTAGCTGCCTTAAAACATAACAGCAGTCTCCAGTAACCCGGTCGGGAGACAGAGCCATCATGAATTCGCTCATCCGTTCTAGGGCCACGCAGATAGGTACAGCTGCCACACTAGGGTTTAAATACCGTGGGCTCCTTTTACACTATCTCAGTCCTGTGGGTGATATGTGCTAACGGGCCCCGCGGCTACCTAGGTCTCAAGAAAGGTTGCTGGATTTACTGCATGCAACTAGGAGACGTTTGCAAGCAATAAAAAGCCCTCTTTGCAGCACCTGCAGTTATCAGACCGCTCAGCTGGGCACCCATAGGAGAGGGTTTTACTAGCTCGCTGACCCCTTCCAGAACGGGTGCGGTGGGCCAGGGCAGTGCTGCAGGCAACCCAGGGCATCTGTGCTCGCAGGTGGTCTGGCACAGGCAAACAAAGTCTTTCCATTCTGGCTTCTGCCATGTCTTGCCATACAGAGGGTAAGCCCTGATGCAGGGACCATCTTCTGTACGGTGCCCACCACCACAAGGCACTGCTCACAGACAGACAGGCTCAAAAATTGGAAGGCTGTCTGATGGATACGCGCCCCATACCAATAAGGATGATTTGTGGGGTGCGTGGCGGCAACTCCACTGACTTTGAGAGACTTGTCTGCACCAACAGCCACATTGTATGCTCCTATTTCCCCTTGGTATTTTACCCATGTCCGAGCCGCAGTTCGGGTTATTCCTAGAGTCTGAACCCCCTCAGCGTTCCTCCATCATTAGCTCAAAGCACGGCAGAGGGAATGACTGCGGAGCAGGGCTTGCAGCTCTCGCTTCCCAGCCTATTCCTTGCATCTTAGACAAAGTGGGAAAAGCCCCCCTGAACTTCAGACACAGAGGGAGCTAAGAGTGTGAACGCCTTGCCCCTCATCTGGGAGAGGGCACCAGGTGGCAGGAAAGTGGGAGAGACGGGAAGCAGGCACCGCGGGCACGGGAGACTCACTTTGCTTTGGAGATGAACTTGTAAGTGTCGTTCCAATAGGCCAGCAGGTCCGTCGCCTCCTCGTCGTACACCCGGATGTTGTGGTACTCGAAGAGCCCCGGGAAGAAGTTGTCTATTTCTCGAGTGACGTTCAGGATGTACCGCACCCTGCGCGGAAGCAGAGGACAGATCGGACCAGACCGGCAGCCTCCACCGAGGACGCGGAGCCCATAGGGAGACACCGCACCCCCAGGAAGCAGCTTTGCTGTGCTCCAAGGCAGAACTGCCTTCGTTTGCTGATGGGCTTTCAGTGCCAGTCAGGGGGCTTTCCCTTCAGCGCGTCTGCCTGTCTGTCTGTGGGATTCTGGGGTCCGGGCAAGAAGAGAGGGGCAGTCTGTCTGTCTGCGAGCCCTCAGTTCACCCACGGGGAAGTGACAGTGGGGGTGGCACGGAGCGAGGTGGGTGCCTGCCCCCGTGCCCAGCAGCTCACAGCCGCATGCCGCTTACCCTCTGTTCTGCAAGTCTTCCAGGTTGGAGGCGTTCCACTCAGAGCCCTACAGGGAAACAGAGGGAAGCGTCAGCAGGAGGAAGACCCAGCGCAGGTGCTCTGCCAGCTGAGCTGTGCCGCAAGGCCCCCCTTACAGCCCTGCAAAGAGGAGCTGCCTAATCCCAGGCCCTCGAGACCTGTTTACACGGCAGAGGCGAGTGACAAACAGCCAGGCTAGCGCTTATCTGGCTGGGAATCGGCACCAGTCCCAGCAACAGGAAGCTCCGCCGGGACTGCTCTGGCTGGGGAGCTTCCTGCAAGGCCTCAAAAGCTGTGGCAGCACAGAGAGAAGCCTTCCACGAGGGGCTGTGGCTGGCTCTGACCTGCCTCGCACCACCGCGGGTGCTGCATGGACTCCACAAACAAGCCCTGCTGTGCCACGAGGCTGCCCCTTGCCTGGGGGAGCGCAGGAGCAGCTGGTCAGCTGAGCTATCAACCCAGTGGTGACCTGGGCTGCACACCGGTCAGTTTGGATATGCCCTCCCAAGACCCTGCGGCTCAGGTCGGGGGCAAGGCAGGGCCGAAGAACCTCAGCGCCCAGCTCTCCTGCCCGAGACTCGAGGCAGCTCGATTCCAAGGGAGGGAAGCTGCAGGCTGTACCAAGCAGCTGGGGGGCCGACACACGGCCAGGGCTCCTGCAGCTGCGTGGAGGTAAGGGGGGCAGCCAAGGCAGGTCTGGGGAGCACCAAACCTCTGCATGCGTGAGGGCCAGACCTGCCGTAGAGCCCAGCTCTGGAACCGCCTGCCCACACGTGTCTTGGAGAGCCGCAGTCCCTGGCACTGCTGCTTGGGATGGGGTCGGTGCAGCGCTGGGTCCGACCCAGGCTCTGCCCGTGCCATGTAGTGGGGTCCTCCACCACATGCAGCCTGCCCCCGGCTGCCCAGTATTCCCAGAGGGACATGTATAGCTATGCCAGGCAGCTACTAGGACCCCGTCCCCTCCGGCAGGCAGTGCAAAGGCCTCAGGAAGGCAGTTCCTCAGATCCTAGGGCAGCTGGTCCTCTCCCCCATGGAGGTACCCCCAAACAGAGGCCAGGGCAGGGCTCTGAGCCCTGAGCAAGACAGAGGCTCACTTCTCCTTGAGCAGCAATGTGCGCTGGTGGCCCAGAGGGGTGGAAAAGCTCTTGGGTTTTGCAGCAACATGGCCAGGTGCAGTGGATTTCACAGGGTCCCAAGGGCTCAGTGTCCTGCTCTGCCTTGCAAATAACATCCCACGAGACTGGCCAGCACCATGCTGCTTCCTCCAGTGAAGGGAGGCTCCTGCCATTTGCAGTCACGGGAGCCCTCCCTAGCGTGACATCCCTCCCTCCCCCGAACGCGACGCCCCGTTACACGGAGCAAGCGCCAGTGTCTGGGCTCTGATTTCCTGTATTGTTATTTGGGCACCCTCCCAATAAGACACCTCAGAGACCTCATCATATGGACCCTGCCCTCCAGCTGCTTTGTGTTTATGAATGAAACTGCCGGCTACACCCAGCCCTATCCTTCCTCGCAGAGCCGGCTCGGTCTCGGGCGCAGCCAGGGGAGCTGCAGGGGCAGGGCACTCTCTCTGGTGCTGCCCAGGGGACCCTGGGTGCAGTCTTGCCAGGTTAAGTGCACTTGAGCCAAGGCTCCGTGCTTGGCAGCTGCCTGATGTTTCCTGTATTACTCCTGACTCATTGCATGGGCTCGCATGAGCCCCTCTGGAAACCACCTGGCTGGAAGAGAGTCACTAGGCCAGGGACAGCTCATTGCTCCACGTCTCCTGGCTCCCTCTCCACCAGGGTTTCTTGGAAGTGCTCACATCTGTCACAGCATCAGGGTGTTTTTAAGCCTCCCTCAGAGGCACTGGGTGTTGGATGCGCTGGGCCAATGCTCCTGCTGGGACCAAAGCCTGCTAGGTCCCAGCATCTGCTCAGGGTCAGATCAAAGCCACATTTGGGGCCAGGAACAAATTTTACCCTGTGGTCAGACTGGTATGGACTGGGGAAGTTTCTACCTTCCTGTGTAGCTGGTGGCATGGCCCCCTACATGGGATCTCGAGTGTATATTAACAACCTTTTACAGACACTGGCTGCTGTGGTTCCTCTGCTTTCCTTATGGCAGGTTCGGATAGGATTTCTTCTGTGGTGTCAGGGTGACAGAAGAGCTACGGCGATCTTAGATGATGGATTGTATGGGATGGCTTGGGCAGGGCTGATCCTGCCTCAGGCAGGGGGTTGGACAAGATGTGACCTCTGCAGGTCCCTTCCAACCCCACTTCTATGACTCCTATGACTCCTCTTCTCCTCTAAACCGTGGCAAGGAGTTCACGCCATTCAACAAGAGAGGCCTTCTCTGTGTGGATGGACCAGCTGGTCCAGAGAGGAGCAGCCCGGTTTGAAAGAGGAGCCAACCTCATGGGATTAACCAGCCACGCCAGGGTCCCTGGCCCGGCAGCTGGATGGAAACCTGGGGCAGTGCTGACTCATCAGAAGGAGGGGCAGCAGTTAGCCAGGGCCCAGCAGCAATGAAAGGCGGCTAAACAAGCAAAACATTAAAGGGCGAATTGTTTACGCTGCTTTGGACAAATAATCTGCAGGGCTGGGTCAGGCCCTGTGGTTCCCACGCATGAAAGGGACTCTCCATCCCAGAGGCTGCAGGAAGTGTACTGCCACCTGAGCCTTGCATAGCCCTCCCCTCTGCTCCCGCCAGCTTCCCTCTCTTGCTGCTGTGTCCTCCCAGAAGCAACGCACACAGCACACACACTCGGGTGACCTCCTGCATGGGCCCCAGGGCAGCTGTGGCTGGGATGTGGGAGGTGGCAGCAAGATAGAGAGGTTTTCCCACAACAGGAATGGCTCCTTTGGGGCCCAGGCAAGGCAAAGCAAGATTTATTGCTAAGCTATGCTCAGCGCAGCCCAGAAGCCAGCCAGCACTTGGTCAATAGTGCCACTGTCACTGTCAGCTCAGCTCAGCGCGCAGGACCCCGGGACAACCATGTTCCTCTGCCCGCTGGCCAGCCCACTCAGGGCAAGAAGCATCACTGGCATTCGTGGGGCTGTGGCAAGTCAGGGACCATGTCATGGGTAAGAGCAACCCAGCACCTTGCTGGCACATTGGGGCCATGACCTAACACCTCACCAGAAAGACATGGTCGAAGATCTGCGTGGGGCTGTCCATCTGCCCGAGGATCACGATCATCTCATTGTCGATGAACTCCTTGAACTCCCGGAGGTTGCACACCATCTGCATCTCCAGTTCTGTGCGGATCTGGAGAGGGGAGAAAACCCATGTGAGTCCTTCCTCTTCGCTCATCCTGGTGAACAAAGCACCATGCCCCCTCGCTGCACAAGGCTTCGGCTGTGTCCTATCAGCCCTCGGTGAGGCTTACTGGAAGCTCCAGGCTCACCTCTTTGGATGTGATGTTCTCCAAGTCCTTCTGCATCATGATCTCCCTCAGCTTGGTCTTAATCAGCCGCTCCGTGCGCTCGCGCTCCGTGGGGCTAAGAGAAGGAAGTGACAGCAATTCGCAGTGAGTGGGGGACAGAGCTAGGCCAGGTGACATAACACTATGGAGATGCCCCATGCACAGCTGCGTTTGAGACAGCCACCCCCATGCTGCTGAGCTGCCCCCCACCTGGGTGGCAGCCAGCACACTACCCCTTGATCCTAGCTAAGGCCCATATCCGGCTGGCGGCCGGGCCGTGCTGGGGACAGAAGCCCCAAGGAATGTGCCAGGACTGCAGTGGCTCGCCATCAAAACCTCTCCAGCATTTGGCGCAATTTAAGTGGCTTTGAGCAGAGGCCTAAGCTCCCCCTACCTTTCTTGGAAAGGTAACCGCTCCACGCTGCCTTTTATGGAGACAGAGGGCAGGCGGGCCGCAAATGCTTCCCCAGCCCTGCTGCCTGAAGCCTTATCTCCGCTTGCAAAAATAGCCTTGCTAATCAGCGTGGGGGGCGGCAACGACAGTGCTCCAAGCTGGCTCACCCAGCATCCTCCGCCAGGGCCTGGTGGGACCAGTTCATGCCACCTATTCTGCCTGCCTGTCAGGCTGCCAACACAGCAAATACGCAGAGGTTTCTGCTTTATGAGCTGCTGCAATTCCTGTCCAGCTGGTGGGCTGTGAATAAAAGCTACACAACAGCCGCCCCTTTTAATCCCCAGCTTTCTTTCCAGGCTCTGCGGATACAGCCCTACCCAGGGCTTCACTGCACCCAGCAAAAAACTTTTCTCGTGGAGAAAGGGGTTTTTAAACATGAATAGCTGCAGGGGGATATCAGGCTGACCAGCTGCCAAAGCTTTTCAGCCCACTTCCTTGTACGCTGACAAACAACCCAATGCAAAGGCTGCTTTGCAAACGAACTGCCCAGGGTTGTTTTTTGCTCACTGGGCTTGGAGAACACTCATGTCCAGAGTGCACCAGTCTGCAGGAAGGCACCATGAAGCCAGGCAAGCATCCCGGCACTGCGAGAAGCATTGTCCTTTGCCCTCCCATCTCCCTGGGAATAGCTGCCATCACGTCCAGAGGCAGGACCCCATCCAGGCAGCATCACTGAGACCACCACTCACTGCATCAGATCGAGCAGCTCTGCCATTAGCAACAGCTAGCTGGTTACTCTGGGCAGACAGGCAGCTAAGACATCCTGCCTGCTCTGACCATGCCACAAGCACAGTCGTACGAGCCCTCCGTTACAGCAGTGCCCAAGCACCACGTCACTCGGGGAAGACACTGCAAAGCTGTGACTCTCTCCTCCATGTTTGGTATTAGGCGTGTCAACTAGAACAACCGCTTGAGGCAGATGCCTGGCTCAGAGGCAGCTGGAGCTGCCCATGTCTGGAAATCTCTGGGCACCACAGCAAAGCACTGGATGCAAAATCAGCAAGCAACATGCCCGCGTCTGCCCAAGTGCGGGAAAGAGGCCTGGAAAACCCCAGTGTCTCTAAGAGACGCCCAGCCGAGTGCTCACAGTAAAGGGCCAGGAGACAGGAAATCCTGACTCGTGACTCCGCTTGGACAGGTTCCTTCTGGGGCTTTGCGAGTCACTTCGGAGAAGAGCATCTGCCTCCCAGGAGAGCCCAAGGGAGACGTGTGCAGAGCGCCGAGAGCGAGCGTGAAGTGCAATGACAACGCTGAGGACACCCACTGAGCGTGGAGAGTTTCCAGCAGAGTCCCTGTTGGCCATCCTTCCCCTCAGGCCAGGACCCACTTGTTACCTTCTCCGGCTATTATCTATCAGAGGCGATCCCTGGGGCAGTGCCTGGCTACACAGAGACCACGCACCGGCTGTACTTACACGTCCGTGAAGAGGGCGGGCGAGTCGGGGCGGTGGGACTGCACATCTTGCATGGCATTCCACTCGTTGACGGACGACTGGTCGGAGTTGATGTGGCTCTCATAGTAGCTGACCCAGGTGAGGAAGAGGCTCCCGGGATAGTAGTTGTTGCTTCGGGCCACCTCACAGGCCTTGTGCAAACTCTGCAGAGCAGACCTGCAAGAGAGACCCGGGCCTCAGCGCCTCGGTCCCAAGACTGCCCCCCACTGCCAGTGGCACCTAGCCAATGGCCCACTTGCCGGGCTGCCTCCCTCAGTCAACGCCCACCTCTAATGGCCCCAGGGTGTCAGGGGTCCCCATCACAGAGCAGCTGCCGGGCCCTAGGGCTGCAGGCTGCAACAAATACACATCATCTGGCAGGAGATGGCAGGTGTGCCCCTTGGCATAGGAAGCTGCTAGGACTGAGGAAGCTGCAGCTGTGGGCAAGGCTTTGCCTTCCATGCATGGGCACGAGTGCAGAGGCTACGCATCCCCCGAGCCCCACACCAGGAGGGCACCAAACCCGGAAGAATTTTTGCGCCAGGGTTTTGCAGGTATTTAGGCACCTTCTTCCCCCCCCGGCCCATGGAAGATGACAAGATTCTCCCAGCTGCTCTCCAAGAACTGTTCCTTCCGTATTTTTAGCTGGTTTTAGACCTTGGATTGTGAGCAGGGCAATCCAGGGCAAAAGCCAGCGGCCAACACTGGTGCACACCACGCTGTGGGTGGCATATTCTGCGCTGCCAAGAGCTGAAGCTAGAAACACTTTACCAGCCACGAAATTCTATCCTGAGCCAGCCTAAAACCAAGCTGGTGGCCTCCAAGCTAATCACAGTGCCCATTTCCCACAGGAGACAAGGTCCCCAGACATGGCACCGTGCCTGCTTGCAGACATGGCAGCTTTATTCTCAGATCACATTTCACAACGTGCCATCCACAGCAGCCTGGCTCTGGGGGAAGTGTTCACAGCTGTGTTCCTCGGAGGGGCCAACTGCTCTACCCTGTCGCATGTCAGCCACGTGGTAGGGGATAATAAGCATGTTGTTGCGTGACCTGGTGGGATGTGCGCAGAACTGGGCCTGCCAAGTCTGGAGGGGCTCACTGCTGGAGATGCAGCATGCAGGAGATGCAGCTTGTCCATGGCAGCCTCCAGACAAGCCCAGTACTACCCATGTGCACGTGTGGTGCACGTGCACACACGTGTGTGTGTGACATGCCTTGCAGTTTGGGACAGCAAAGCTATCTAGGAGGAGCAGCTTTGCTCTCTAACAGACCCAGGTAGCTGGATCCTAATGGGCCAGCTTGGCTCACTCCCAACCCCCCTGGCAGCAGAAGCAGGTCATGAGAAATACCCATCCTGCTTGGCTCTACCTGACACCTGGGCACTGTGAGCATTGAAGCAGGAACTCAGATGGGATGCATGCCCTGGGGTGCCCGCCAGGTTTTGCCCTGGGCCCAGCATCGGCCCCCAGTGTAGGCTCCATCGTGCGACTGACTCTACGGGATGGAGACGGAGGCTCCTCTCCCCATCAAGCTGCAGGGACAGTCACACAGACCGTGGGCGCTGAGAGCAGCCTCCCATTTCCAAAGGAGGGGCTTGGCTCTGTGGCTGGGTCTCCTGAGGCACCAGTGATGCACAAGGCACCTGCTCTGTACAAGCTTCAGCTGCCCTGGAGAAAGGAGCAGCAGGGCAGAGTCCTTACCACATGGCCTGCACGGACACCGGCTTGAATATGTGAACCCTGTTATCCGTCGAGACGCTGAACCCGCTGGAAAGAGAGAGAGAGAGAGAGAGAGAGCACAGTGAGAAAGGCCTCACCTGGCCTTCTTGTCAGCTACCATGGAACAAGCCAGGCTGACAAAGAAACAATCCACAGTAATCCCCCTGGTTTAAACATGTGCATCGGTTAGCCACAGATGCAGCAGATCATCCTGGCTGTGGGCACCCCCAATGCACCTGAAGGGGCTGGGATGGAAGCAGAGGTGGGTTTTCCAGGAGGCTGTCCATAACTGGCATGGGCAGGAGTTTCCAAGCCAAGAGGGGGTTTGGCAAAGGAATCACCATGCTTATTTTTACATCTGGAGAATCTGTCAGCCCCTGACGGAGCCACAAAGCAACGTACAACAGGCCCCTTCAAAGAAGCTTTCGCTATACA